TTTAAAAAATGGACTACAGTTTGTATATGTATAACTGGTTGCCTAATAGATGACACTTTGCACGTATAACTGGTTGCCTAATAATAGCACTTTTGCAGGATTATATCAACATAAACGGTTTGAAAATCTGGCAAGAAGAGGTGACTCGAATCATCAACTACAACGTTGAGCAGGAATGCAACGGTTTTTTGCGTAACAAAATCCACACTTGGGAGAGCACTTTTCAGAGTCGCTACGTCCCAATTCCTCTCTATCCAAGTACCGATTGTTTTAGTGAAAATTTCATTGGGCGATTAGCACGAGAAATAATCAAATTAACAGACCCCAAGTGAGTCAATTTTCATGTTTTCACACAACACTTCCAAATTGTTTTCTTAGACAGTCCGTTTATTTGGAACAAACATCGTCTTGGTACGACATCAAGACACACAAACCCATTTTTAACAAAGAAACCATAGCGTTGGTCGCATCTGCCATTGAAATTGCTGGGTTGGTGGGCCTTGACCGGCTTTTCTCCTTCATGATAATCACCAATTTGCAAAAATTGACCGGTTTCTTGGAAATGAAAGACACCAAAACGAACACATGGTGTAATATTTTGACTAGCATTCATAAAGATATCATTTCGAGTGAAAACGTCACAAATCCGGTCAAATTTTACCAAAATTGTGTAAATCGAACAACGAAAATTTGGTTTGAGTTTCTTGATTGTGTTCTACTCGTGGGCCAATTGCAATTATTGAGGAATTTAATTGCATTTCATTTGAATAAAGCGTGCAAGTTTAATGCGAAAAATTTGGAATCGTCACTACGTTCACTCAATAAGTAAAGCAATTTTGCGATTTTTTCCACTCAAATAATTGTTTCAGGGCTTTATTACTCGACATTGTTAATGGTGAATGTGCCCCAAGTGAGGAAATCATGTCCACACTATCACACTATTTCGATTACTCGGGCTTAAATAACCCATTTAATAAAATCTACATCACGTCAAAGTTCGACAACAATCATTATATCACAATTTTCGTTTTTGTGATTGCACATTTACACAAAGTTTTTTTCCCACGAAACAAACGAAATACGGACCAAATCGATGGGACCACATTTGCTGTCTCAATTCACACTCTCATCAAACAATTCCATAACAAATTAAACGAAAGTTTTATCAACTTATTAAGTGATTATATCACACAATTGACTAGATACAACATAAGGTGGGTAAAAAACTTGTCAATTTCAGTTTTAAACGTTTTTTTTTAGTGTTAAAAGCACCGACTTGCCTTTAGAAGTATCCCTAGCCATGAGTTTCCTTGAAACGTTCACGAATTACTCCGAGGCGTCCCGAAAGTGTCTCAAAGAAGCAATTCCCGATGAAATTTTACATTTGCAACAAACTCTAATCGCGTCTTCTTCGTAAATCAAATAAAAATAATCAATCAGTGATTTGTGTCAATAATGCAGTTCCTTTCAATATCCAGTAACTTTGTGGTTTATCAGTTGGTAACAAAACAGCGATTACGAAATTCGTACTGTGTCCTGTTGTCGATAAGACACCTGCACGTATCGATGTCTTGTACAATGGAGTCACATATCTTTTATCATTTGGGGGTAAATTAGTCTTTGGTAACATCCAAATAGCCGGTAGTAAGGGATTAATTTCACCTAAAACGCGAGTATTACACAAGATTTTTTCTACGACTATAAATCAAACCAGGTTTGGCATCAACTAATTTATGAGTTGGTGTGTCCCATCGGCCTGCATCGAGGAAAAGCCCATGAACTATAGCCCCATCTTGCGGATGATGCAAACCTTTATAAACTTCCAAATTCTAAAAAATTCAATCAATGATTAAATTAAATTAAATTTAGCTCTACTTCGTGTTGTTCCTCATCGTGAATCTTCTTCACTTGTTCCTGTTCAATCCATACTTTTTGTACCTCAAAATCGAATTTGAGTTGATCGATCGGTAAGTTATACTTTCTGGCATGGGTTTGTAAAGTTCCGGTTAGGAAACCTTGAGGGAAGTAGAAACCCGATAGCCAGTACGAAGCTGGAGGACCTGAACGCACCCAAATCTACAATTAATTAGTTAAAAATTTGAAAAATTACATTTTAATAAACAAACTTTAATGAAATCGAGTCGTAACACCAAGTCTCGTATCCAACTTCCAAGACTTTTCAATGAATTGTAGCTTTTTTTCGACCACATTTTCGGTACTTGATTGTTGGTGAAGGCGACATAAACCTCCTCCAAAGCGTCCGACATGACAACTAAACCTTTGATTGCCTTTTTCAAATTYTCCATTGAGTTGTGTATCAATTTGAGTAAAATGTTATAACGGTCGACTTCTTGAATTAAGACAGTTGTGAGTGAGGGTAATCGGCCTTTGTCGTCTCTCTGTAATTTTTATATAGGGTGTGTCAGAACTCGCGCCCCAGAGAAAAAATTCAAGTAAAATAAGATACCAGAAACATGGAAAAAATATATCTGTCAAAAAATTTCGACAGTTGTCATTTCTCTATTTTTATTTTTTTTTACTCTTTCAGGATTCCAATTTCTGATTTCTTGTAATTTTTCCAAATTTTAGTTTTAAGTTTATATTTTTCTTTTTCTTCTCAAAATTCTTGTTGGTTTTGACTTGAATTATTACTGCCCTAAATCTCAATCAACTTTTTATTTATTTGGATTTTTTTTTGAGCTTGTTGTTTTATTATTTGGAAATTTTTTTCTTTTTGCTATCTTGAAATGAGATTGTTTCAGAGTTTCTTAATCAAAATTTGAAAACATTTGAGGAGAAAATAACAGAAGAATATTTAATTGGTTGAAAAGTTTTTTTCTAATGTTGAAAATTGTCTATCACCTTATTTTTTCTCAAGAATTTGGAAGATTTCAAAAAGTTGTTTTTTTTCTAATTTCTTGAATTTTTCAAAAATTTAAAACCTCCAAATACCCAGAATTCGCACCCTAGATAAAAATTTCAAGTAAGATAAGATACCAGGATCATGGAAAAAATGTTTAAAAAATTCTATCTGTCAAACAATTTTGTCACACATTTTTTGACATTTCTCTATTTTTATTTTTTTACTCTTTTTCAAGACTTCAATTTCTGATTTCCTGTAATTTTCGCAAATTTTAGTTTTAAGATATATTTGGAAATAATTAACCATTTTTTTTTCTTCTGAAAATTCTTGGTTTTGACTTGAATTAATCTCATTGAGCTTTTAATTTTTACTTATTTGAATTTGTTTTTTTTGGAAAGTTTTTTCATTTCTCAATCTTATAATCTGAGATTGTTTCAGAGTTTCTTAATTAAAATCTGAAAACATTTGAGGAGAAAATAACAGAAGAATATTTAGTTGGTTAAAGAGTTTTTTTGTAATGTTAAAAATTGCAATTTTAAATGGAAAAAGCTGTCTATTTTTCTTATTATTTTATTTCTTCTCAAGAATTTGGAAAGAAAAAGTTATTTTTTCCTAATTTCTTGAATTTTAAAACAATTTAAAACCTCCAAATACAGGGTGTGCCAGAATTCGCGCCCCAGAGAAAAAAATCAATTAAGATAAGATACCAGAAACATGGAAAGAATGTTAAAAAAATTCTATCTATTAAAAAAAATTGACATTTGACATTTTTTTATTTTTATTTTTTACTGTTTCTTAAGACAGTTTTTCAGTTTCTGATTTCCTGTAATTTTTGCAAATTTTAGTTTTAAGTTTATATTTTGAAAAAAGTAACATTTTTTTCTTTTTGTTCTCAAAATTCTTGTTGGTTTTGACTTGAATTAATCTCAATGACTTTTTTATTTTTATTTATTTGGATTTTTTTTTTGGAAAATATTTTCATTTCGCGATCTCGAAATATGCGATGAAATATGAAATTTCACAGAAAAATATTTTGTTGTTTGAAGAGTTTTTTCTAATGTTTAAAATTGCAATTTTTAAATGTAAAAAGCTGTTTCAAATTTCTTGAATTTTTCAAAAATTTAAAACCTCCAAATATCAGCGCCTTAGAGAAAAATTTCAAGTAATATTGTGAAACAATTTTGACATTTATTTATTTTTCTCCAACAGAAATAAATAGAGTCAAAGTGAAAAATTTAAACTCTCATAACTTCGAAATTTTTATAGATAGAATAGAACATTTTTGTCATGTTTTACCGTACATAGCATTTTATTTGGGGCGCACCCTGTATATAAGAAACGATGAAATTCACTCACCTTAAACATGTTAACATTGGCTTCATCCATCGATATTTTCGTCATTAAACAATCAGTCACTAAATTCGCTAAATCATAGACGATATTATCGGTTTGTTGGCCTTCAGCGCCCCCCGAAGTATGCGGTTGACTCTCCATAATCGTCAAAAGTATATTTTGTGTCTCTTTTATTTGATATGCGATATTTGCATTTTCGTGCATTCCAAAAATCTCCGGTTCTTCCAAAATCGGAAGACCATCAATAAACTCTTGATATTTCTCAAGTTTCGTAAAACTAGGACAGTAATAAATCCCCTTGGGCGAATACTTATAATGCGGTTTGAGTATTTGAGGCGAGAAAAAAATCTTTAAAATAGTTTTCAAACAACGCAAATCCCAATAATCCGTCACACGTCCACCATACGTAATCTCTCCTGTTAAATATTCCAAAGCATCCCAAGGGATCGTCCCTTCGGCACAAAACATTTTCAAAGTATTAAACGCAAATTCTCGATCACTGTCGTTGAATTCATAAGTGATATTCCAACCCAAAGGGCCGAATTTCTTTCGTTCTTGAATGATGGCATGAAACATACAAGTACCAAAAATCATACATCTCCAGTCTTGCTTCAAAGCTACAAATTTCCCTAAATTGGGGCCCTTAACTCGAAAATTGATAACTCACGATGTTCCTCGAAAAACTCCTGTTGCATATCGGTAAACGCCCTTTTGATATTAGCCCTAATCCCTTTCGGTGGTTCATTGGTTACTTTCACTGAATTTTGCAAAACGGAAACCGGAAATGACTTTGATGGCATTGAACTCATATACAACCGGAACTCTTTGTGGACTTTGGATGATTGTTCCGCGATTTTTATCACAAGACGTTCCATTGCCAACATCCAGGACGTCGCCAAATGGCAATTCTATAATAAAATTTCGAAAATATAATCCGTTTCATTGAAATTGGCATAATATATTGTGTAAACCGCGCTTTAAATGTGAAAAAAGCGAAGGAACTAAATTTGTCACTAAAAAAGTGAGGTTAAGATAGTTAAAATTTAATTTTTAAAAAACCCTCTTTCAGAGAGAGTTTTTTCCATAAAAAGTGTAACATCCTGTTTTATCCCCTTTGTAGGTGTAGTTTTAACACCAAAAACATACACTATTTGCTCTGGAAAAAATAACTTTGCTTTATAAAAATTTAACTAAATAAGTTTTTTGACTTATTTTTTGAAAAAAAATTTATTCAAAAACAAGCTAAATTTAAATTTATTTTGCAATTTTTAAAAATGTTTTGACAAAATCGTGCAAAATAAATAAGTCTTTGATTCAAAGACGTACTAAATTGAGCAAAACAAGGTAAAATTAACATAATTTGGTAAATTTTAGTCAGTTTTAGCAATTTTTTTTTAAACTGTATTTATTTCAAAAAAAGTTAAAAAATCCAAAAATAACGCCAATTTTGGCCTAATTTTGTAAATTTTTGGCTTGTTTT